AGCTAAGCTGTGGAGCAGGAACTAATGGTGAAGAAGACACAATTAGAGGGTCACAAACAACAGGAACATTAAATGTATTAGGAGTGTTGACAAGATTGGATGGAGACAGAGGTGAAGTTTGACTTTTAAAATAAAGAGACAACTCATCAAAGGTGACATCTTTTGACACAAAATAACGGTTAAGAGAAGGAGAAAAACATTTGTATCCTTTTTGTGATCTTGTAAACCCTAAGAAAACACATTTATGTGATCTAGGAGAAAGCTTGTCTAGACCAGAACTAAAATTATGAACAAAACATGTAGACTCGAAAACTTTCGGAGGTAAAGGATGAAGTGGTTCATGAGGGAATAAAATGGAATGAGGTATTTTATTATCTAAAACCGAAGAAGGCATGCGATTAATGAGATAACATGCAGTAAGAAGAGCATCACCCCAAAAATGTTGAGGAACATCTCCATGAATTAAAAGTGTGCGAGTTGTTTCAATAAGATGTCTATTTTTACGTTCAGCTACACCATTTTGTTGAGGTGTATAAGCACAAGAAGTTTGATGCAAAATACCGTGAGAAGCCATGAATTGTTTAAAAGAATGAGAAAGATATTCACGGCCATTATCACTACGCAAAACTCTAATAGAAACACCGAACCGAGTTTGAATTTCATTAAAAAAAGTTTGAAAGATATGAAATAATTCAGAACGATTTTTCATCAAAAATAACCAAGTGCATCCGGAATAATCATCAATGAAAGTAACAAAGTATTGAAAACCTAAAGTAGACTTAACGCGGCTAGGTCCCCAAATGTCGAGTGAACCACGGCAAAAGGGGACGAAGCACCACGTGTGAAACTACGAGGAAAGGAAGTACGACTATGCTTGCCTAATTGACATGACTCACACGCCAAACTAGATAAGTTAGACAAGGCAGGGACAAGTTTCCGTAACTTGGCAAGACTTGGATGACCTAACTGAGCATGAAGAAGAGAGGAGACTCCATAACCGTACTAACATGTGTAGAGGGACGGAGATAATAAAGACCATGAGACTCACATCCTGTGCCAATCACCTGTTTCGAACTCCGGTCCTGTAAACACACCGAATTGTTGGTAAAAGTAACAACACAATCAAGAGAACGAGTTAGACGACTGATGGACAACAGGTTAAAAGGAGACCCAGGGACATAAAGAACATTATCAATGGTTAAAGAAGGAAAAATTTTAACCGTTCCAACACCATGAGATGATACTCTAGAGCCATCGACCAGATGTAACAGAAGGTAAATGATTAGGAGAGGATAAAGAGGAGAACAAAGATTTGTTACCAGTAATATGATCAGTGGCTCCTGAATCAAAAACCCAAGGACCAGGAGAAAATGATTGGGTCGGACCAGCAAAATATGTATTTGTATGTGTGACAGATATAGTGGAACTAGAAGACTGTTGATCCTTATACCATTCGAGAAATTTGTTGAACATAGCGGACATGTCGGATGCAACGAAGAAGAAAGATCCCTACAGATAAAGGTGGGGAAAGATTGGTCCGAACAACTACAGCAGACCGAGGAGGACGACCATGTAATGTATAACACTTGTTAATCTTGTGACCTAGCTTGCCACAATGTTCACACTTAGGACGCCCTTTTTCTCGTTTGCGAGGGCGAGCCCGGTCATCACGATGGGATGTCAACACAAAAGAATCGTTAACAAAATTGGAAATAGTGGAAGAAGTCATGAAGAGCGGGAGAACAAACCCCGACCAAGACAAGCAAAATCATATGTCACCGGTAAAAAAAAATGAAACTCCGGCGAATTCTCCGACAATGGCGGACCGGAGACTCGCTCCAGCGGCAGCGGTGACGTGAACGTGAACTAGTACACTAGGTAAGTTCCCAGGAAAGAGAGGTGGGTCACTAATGGACACACTTAAATACCAAGTCTTTCCTTGTCAGAACTTTCCTAAACATGCACTTTCACACTACCAAATAAAATTCAATGACAAAGATAATTCTTTTCTGATGTGGAGGATCAGTTTACCAGCAGCGGTGGGGCGGCTTTAGCAGCGGTGGGGAGGCTCTAGCAGCGGTGGGGCGGCTCCAACAGTGGACAAAAGGCGGAAAAAAAAAAATTCAAGAGAACCTTAAGCTCTAGATACCATGTTAAGGTTCCAACATAAAACCAATTAGCAATATGTGGAGTAGCCTAACATGTATTTAAACCATACCAAATGATATGAGGTAGGCAATGTGGGACATTCAACACACCCCCTCCAACGAAACCTGCCGGACCAGGCAAAGGGTACTTTTGACCCAACTAAAGGGCAACTTTTGGCCCATGACAATAATCGGAAACATGTTAGGTTTTGGCTCTTGGCTCTGATACCATGTTGAATATAGAGAAAATATGGTTTGGAATTAATTTTCCTTGTGTATAAATCACACATAGGGTAGTCTATTTATAGTAGAGATATACAACTAAAAGAGTAACTGAAAGTAACAAAATAAACAGAAGATATTGTTTGATATTGTGGTTACCAATATCTAACAATATCTTAACAATATCAAATAATATATAAACAATATCTAACACACACAATATGTCAATTCAAATAAAATGAAATACAAATAAATCAATCGACGAACCAAACGTTTATCCTGATTAGGATTGGAAAGAATTTTGTATTTGGCAAGACAAATATGATGGTTTTATTACATTGGTGTAAACATAAGCTTTACTCCAAATAGTTCAATTTCACTAATTATGTCTAAAGAATATTTTCTTTGACATAGGAAAATGTCAACTGATAATTTAGTCACTTCTACCCCCAAGAAATATTTTAATTTTCCCAAGTCTTTTATTTGAAAACATTTTCTCAAATAATCTTTGAGTCATTGGATAACATCATAATTGTTTCCATATATTAATAGATCATCAACATAATTGTACTACACCATTTTGTAGAGTGAATAAGGAATAATCGAAAAGAAATTGTTTAAACTCATATTGTTTCAAGAACCAATCTCTAGGGGTTTGTTCAAACTGTATAAGGACTTTGGAATACAACACATTTGGTTTGAAGTATGACAGTGAAAGCTTGGGATAACTTCATGTACACCTCTCCTTTAAGATCATCATGTAAAAAAGTTCTATGAGCATCCATTTGGTGAAGTTTCCAATTTGCACTAGTGCAAAAATGGGCTTTTACGTCAGGTATTTAGGGCTTTTTACATCGTATTTAAGTCCGACGTTAAAGCGGGAGACGTAAATTTACGTCGGATCTTTTGCCCGACGTAGATTTACGTCAGTTATCAAGATCCGACGTAGATTTACACTAAACAGACGTAAAAACCTTTTCAATTTTTAAAAAAAAAACAAAAAATTTACGTCGCGTATACCATATGCGACGTAAATTTACTGTTTTTTTTTTAAATTGGGTTTATTTATTCTGTTTTACAACTAAAACCTGCAAATATTACAACCAGACAGTCCAGAGGTTCAGTTTTCTTTAGCTAGTAAATTAAAAATATAATATTATATAATTCAAACTACATAATAAAACAATATAATACAAACATACAAACTAAAAAATCTATTACAAACTAAGCTACCTATACAAACTAAGCTACCTATACAAACTAAACTAAACTACATAATACACACAATATAATATGAACAAGAACTTAAAAAATAATGTACTAGAATTGTTGAACAAAAAATTTTGTCCATTGTTCTCTAATTTCTGTAATCTCAGATTCTGGTAATGGAAATGGATCTTGAAATACCTGAAACATGAATTTGACTCTTGTAAGCATGCAACATGAATAAAGTTAAATAAACTTAACTAATGTTAAAAGTAATTACCTCCGTCCAAGAATCAATTAAACCCGCACAAACTATGGCTCTCATCCAATACATTACATAGTAACCACATTCAAACGAGTCAGTTTGCTTATTACACTGAACACTTCCTTTCATGCATATCTTGTTAAGCAGCTCTTAGTAACTGATACCTCCTACAGGAGAAACACGAACGTCTTCAGACTTAATCAAAAAGCATATACTGTAATTGACATTATTTTGGATTAAAAAAGAAGAACATAGCAACCTATCTTTCTCAAGTTTTTTTCTTCAGCGTCATGTTTATCCCTCTTCGGAGAATACACCAATGAGCAATTCTTGATCATTGTTTAACTCTTCAGTCTCTTTTTCGCATAATTGAGTCTGGTGAAGAAAAGAAGTAAGAAACTTGCAACTGAATTTAAAAAGGACAGAAGAAACTTTATGGGTCGGATAAATTCAGCAAGTATATAATATTCGATCAAATCTGGATCAATTGAATAGTCTACATTTTATTTATTTTTCATTCACAATGTTATAGACAGGAAATGTACAAATGAGAAGTCTTAAGGATGGAAAAATGTCATATATGATACACTAAATTTGCGTGGGATAGACTTCAAATCACATTGGTATAGTGGTTCCTTACCATCCTTTACATCTTTTCCTTGCAATTCAACGTCAACTTCTTTAAGGGATATTTTCAAACAACAAAATAAGAAAACAATTTATAGACTGAAAGTATTTTAGACTCCTAGTCATCACCATAACTCAAAATTTAGAAGCAATTTTCCGTAATCAATTATAGCAGCACTCATTTTGGAACGCGTAAATTAAAATCATCAACCACTTGCTGGTTTGGACATTTTTGGAAACAATAATTCAAGTTCCAATGCATGGATATATACTATCAGAAAAATAGAGAATTGGAACAAAGTGATATAAAGATGATGATGTGAATACCTTCAGCTTGAATACCTTCAGCGAATAATGCGATTCCATTGAACCCCACTCTTAAAGAGGGAGGCATGGGAGGAGTTGGAAAGACAAGCAGGAGAGTGAATAAAAAAATCCAAACCCCTTTGAAGAAGGTCTTGGGCGTGGAAGGGAGAGAAGGGTGCAAGAACCCCATGCACGGCTAGTTGCTCTCCAAGGGTTAGGGTTTGATATCAACACGTTGTTAATCTCGACGGAGTTTCGTGCACGGTCAACTTTGGTGAGGGAGATGTTTTTGTGGCGAAGGAGAGTTGTGAGGCAGGTTCCTTGGGACATGTTGAGGAGGTCGTGGAAGGAGAAGGGGTTGTAGGTGGTGGTGTGGTAGAGGAGGAGGGTTTTGAGGAACCAAAAAGGATGTGAGGTGTTTCTGATTGCTGAGTCTCTGATGGCGAAGATGGTTGAGTTTTGGGCGGTTTGAAGAATGAAGGAGAGTGGTGGAGAAGGTCTGCCATGAGTATGAACCCCGCTCTTCGGAGAGCCTTGGAAGCATTCGAGTGAGAGGTCATGGGGTATGGGCGTGGCTTCTTGTGTTGAGTTCTTGGAATCGGATGAACGCATTGCTGAGGATATGGCAATGATTCCGAGGGCTATTGAGGCTGCCATGTAGAGTGGGAACCAACACCAACGGGAATAAGCCATGCACAGAAGAACATGAACTGTCATGCACAGCACTGGAAGAAAGAATGAGTGGAAGAAAGAAACGAGTCAGTTTGCTCAAAGGTAAAAAGCTAAGGCTTTTTACGTCGCGCCCCAGTAAGCGACGTAAAAGTCCATCTTTTACGTCGCGCCTCCCAGTTGCGACGTAAAAGAGGCTTTTTACGTCGCGTACTGGGACGTGGGACGTAAAATTTTTGTCCCATATTTACAAAATTGCCACCGCGTTTTATTTACGTCGAATATACATGCATGCGACGACAATTGGGTGACGTAAAAGCCTTATTCTGCACTAGTGTTGTCATCAACTTCCAATATAATTCAAATAATAACCATATTTTCTACTAGAACAAAAGTTTTTATATAATTAACTCCTTCGACTTGAGAGTTTCAAGTAAGACTAATAGAGATTTAAAACATTCTATAATTTCATTTGAATTATAATTAATCTTATATACTCATTTTCTTCTCAATGTCTTATTGTCTTTTGATAGTAGAAATATTGTTTAAGTTCTATTGTCTTCAAATGCTTGTATTTTTTGTCTCATAGTTGAGCGTAATTTGTCTTTGAATAATTTGTTGGTTCTCTCTTGGTAGTTATTACAGTAAGGAACCTACAATATTTTAAAGAAAATTTATCACAACTCACATAATGTGTTATGTGATAGGCCTCACCCGGATTATGTTGTGGAATAAAAGAAAAACTAGTTGGACTTTTACTTCAATTGTATTAGTCAAATACTCTCAAAGTCTCGTAGAGAGAACTTTGACACGTTTTTTCCGTCCAAGATGTTCATCATTTTTTGACTCATTTTGGAGAGAAAGTTTATTTTCTAAAATTTTCCCTCCCTATCTCTGTGTCATGATGTCATCTCATCTTTTGCAAATTCAAAATCATCAATTACACAATTTTCAATGTTGTTATCTTTAATATTGACATCAAATATCATTACAGTAGGAATAGTTTTGTTACCAATGAGTTATGCAAAAGAAAATTTATTTTCAAAAAATTTGGTATCTCTTGACACAAAATAACTTTCAGTATCTAGATCCTCCAACCTTCATCCCTTTTTTCCCATAAGGATAACCCATAAATACATATTTTTTATTGTAACTAACAAACTTATGTCCTTTTCTACCTTGATTATGAGTATAACATAAAGAATCACACATTATTCAATGATTATTTAAAGGTGGTTGCCCATATAACATTTCATAAGAAGTTTTTCTATTCAACAAAGGTGTTGGCGTTCTATTTATTATATATCCAACTATAAGACACATTCATCCCACAAAGATACAGGAAGATTACCTTAAAATTTTAAGTCACTAGTTACATTAAGGATATATTTATGTTTTCTTTTAACTTAACCGTTTTGTTGAGGTGATCTTATATAAGATGTTTGAAAAATAATATCAAGTTCAAAAAACTTTGTTGTTGAAAAACCTCTAAACTCAGTTATATTATTATTTCAAATGATCTCAATTTGTTTTTCATATTGACTATATACTTAAGCAACAAAATTCAACCAAACACTAAGAACTTTCATTTTATCAAGTAAAAGATAAATTTAAACAACACACGAATAATCATCAATTATAGTAAAAAATAAGATGTACCACAAGATGATAGAGTTCAATAGGATCTATATAAATCATAATAGATTAATTCAAAATTGTTAATAGTTTTATTATAGCCCAAGGAAAGTTATCTCTACTTTGTTTTGTCATTTGACATATATCACAAGTTTTATTTGCAAACTCACCATTCTTTATGTCAAGATTTTAGTCTAGTTGCTTAATCATCAAAGAAGGATGTGTCATCCGCTTCTACCAAAGGTCAATAAAATATCTTTCATCAAGATTAAGTGTTTTCTCATGTCAAAACTCTTTCAAATAGTAAAGCTTATCATTTTGTTCACTTGGTCCAATTAACTTCTTCAAAGTGAAATAATGTATAACACATGTAAATTTAAGGAATTAGACCATATAATTTCATTCATTCAATGATTGAGACACAAATATTATACTACATTGTAATCTAGGTACATATAATACATTATTAAGTTTTATCCCTCCTTCAAGAGGTATACTTTATTCTTTAGTTGGTATAAGTTGTTATTCATCTGACATTTCTCTAGGACATCCTTATATGGTTCTTAACTCTTAAAAGGTGTTTTAAATTTTTTGTCATATCATTGGAAGTTCTCATGTCAATAATTCATATTTTCTTACTATCCAACTTTAATATTTTGATAGAGATATTTTTTTGTTTTATTTGTTATAAGTTAAATGTTACATATATATATATATATATATATATATATATATATATATAATCTGTATCATATTATTATCTATTTAGAATCTAAATCTCACACAAATAGTTTAATTTTATTATAAAAATTGCAATTAATTTATAAAGATCACAGTTACAATTTTATCTATAATATAAAATTAATCACAATTTGTTAGGTTAAACTGTAATTGAATATGATCTTCATTCTAATGATCAAACACATATATAATCTCATACTGTAAACATGTTATAAACCAAATGCGAAAGCGTACCTGAATTGGTCATAATGACGATATCCTTTGTAGAGCACTTTTGATTTGATCTTATGGTCTTCCACCTGAAGAGCACCTGTATTTCCCTCTTGATTTTCTCTCTTGATGGGGATAGGAAGAAAAGAACGGGACTGTAATTATGTTCTGTCTGTGTGTTCTCAGAAGGGGACCATGACCCTTTAAATAATCAAAATTAGGTTAATTACTTAAGTTTTAGTATTTTCAATTTGGTCCCTCATCAAATTAGAAATTACTCTATGATCTCTACACAATCATATTTTCATGACATATGTCTTTAGCCAAAACTTTAATTTATTCAGATCACTTTATTATTTGGCTTAATAAATAATGACCCTAACACATTTAAATATGTATTATATATATACATGACCCAAAATTTGCCAACACAATTAACATATAAAGATCACAATTTACACAAGTCAGTTTAAATTTTGTTTACATCAGGCACAATAAGTATCTTGATATTTAACAGAAAAGTGTTTTCCTCTATATATTTTATTTAAAAAAATATTATTAGAAATATCTTGTCTCATATAAGAAACCCATATAATTGCAAGCAAACACTATATCACAAACATACAATACTAGTAATATATTTATCTAAAAAATATAGAGGTAATGACATGATGGAACTTGTAATATTATTTATGAAAAGTTTGTTTGAGACCATAAATAAAAATTTTAGTTTATGCACCATATACTCTAAGCATGACCCAATTTTTTACCATATAAATAGTTTGTATAATGTCTAACATTTTAAAATATTGTCTTGACATTTGCGTAACTCTAATGAGTTACTTGCATTATCATTCTGTACTTGAAAAAGGATAATACAATAATTTAAAATTGCACTTTTCATCTTATGAAATTATATTCTCAATGATATTTGTTGAAGGTATTGAGATTTCTTTGTAAGTATTCGAGGAAGAATCTTATTATCATCATCAATAATATTTTAAATGTGATTTTCTATTAGAGTTGTATCTTCAACAAAGTACAAACCTTGATTAATTAGAGGTTTTTCTTCGAAAATAACGTTATTTTTGTGTTCTTTTCCTTTCCAAACTCAACTTCTTTAAAAAAATTCCCTTTTAAATCTCGAATAAAATATATTAAAATGAGATTGTAAAACTTAATTTTTAACATGATCAACATAAATAATAAAATAATAATTATTTTCTTTTATATCACATAAAAATTATTACTTAGCTATATAATTCGAAATGATTAAAATTCATAATACTTAACTTTTTGTTAGTCCAAAAGATTTTGTTAATTATTTTAACATTTTATTAAGGATGCAAGTAAATTATGTTCTTTAAAGCTTTTCTCCAACGTAACTATCGTAAAGAGGAATGATTGATCATTCTCCTCCATATTTTTAAAAATAATTTTTTTTTCTATACCATTTATATGGTATTTTACCAAGATAGAACAATTTAACTTTTTAAGAAAATTAAAGTGCAAAAAACAATAAACATTATTTTAAGAATTCATCATTCATTATTAGAAATTATTATATTTTATGAAAATATTTTTGTGAATTTTTATAAAAATTTATAAGAAAAAAATTTCCTACAAATTAAAAAAATAATAAAGGAAATAACTAATTTTTCATTAGGAATATTTATTAGAATATTATTCAGCACAAACAAATATGACAACTATTATTTTTATTTTAAGTTGAAGTTCAAATTAAAGGTTTTATAAACATTCAAGGATTAGAAATCAAAGAAGTTCTTCATCTATTACATTATAAATTTGTAGAATATTTCAAATCACCCTTATTTCTACGTCGTCACTGAAATAGTGAAAATATTAAGTTATTGTATATATATAATATGTCTACGAGCATTTTGTGAAACAAATAATGAATTTTAAAAGAAATCACACATATTACTCTTAATTGACAAGTTCTATGAATAATTTACAAGCTACCATAATCCACTAGCAACAAAATGACACATCTTTCATTTTGTAATCTTCCATAAACAAAACTATCATAGACATGAAGTTGTAACACGATTCATATGATCTTGTTGGAATTGTCTTGGTCTTGTAAGAGTAAACTCGCGCACACAGGGCATGGTGGATCACGTGGATCTTCAAATCTAGTTTTTTGCTCCAAACAATTTGCATGGTAAACGTGACCACATACTAAAACTGCCACAACTGAAAGTTCAGTAGAAGAAATTGAACTCCCAAAAAAGTTAATTTTTTGACTTAGCAGTTTCTCACATATCCCACAATCCATATCTTCTTTATTTGATGATATTGCATCCATCCCTAAGGAGCTTGATCGAATTCTCTCTGGCCTTGAAAACACTTTCTCTCTATTTTCTAAAAAAAAGTAATTTAAAAGCTTGAATAATCAATTTTCTAACTTCCAAATACAAAATCAACAATAATATAGCTTCTAAACAATATATAATATTATTACCAACTTACACGTATAGCATGCTAACAAGACACAAACGTTGTACAACTTTTCTTTTCTTTTCAAGTGAATTCTCCACCAAAACATGAAGAATTAATGTAAACTAACCTTAACAATACCAAATTATTTTTAAATTAACTTGTGCATCATAAAAATAACGATTGAATACCCTTGCCACGTGAAGACGATGCATTTGCATGATTGGTAGAGTTACGTCGAAAATATTGGTGCCCATAATAATGTCGTGATTGTTTCAAAAAAATTGAACGACCAAGACCTTGATGATGATTTGTCATAGTTGGATGGGTATTAAGTAGCTTCGCAGATCTATCTGTTATATCCAATGCAGGTGGCAAATGGAGCACACCATGATCATCTGAATGTGAAAGCTTTTGAGAAAACAGAGTGAAAAATATAAGATTAATGACATACTTTTTAACGCATTTCATTTAACATATAACAATAATGATTAAAACACATATTTTGTAAATACACAAACTTATTAATATATAAAAATAGATATTGGTGGGGTTTTAAATTTTATAATTAAAGTAGTGAGAAAAAAAATTACCTCATTTGACAATAGCTCCATGTTGGAAAATGCATCAAACTACTTTTATTATATTGGCTTTGAAAAAGTGACAACAACCATCGTTAGTGCTTTTATTACGTATTAAGAATTACAAAACTAACACATAAATTCAAGAAGGAAAACAAAAAATCAAAATACGATTATCTCGTGTTATAATTTTGTAGAAAATGTAACGTTATTATAAAAACAAATTATCCATTGACACTAGGAAAAATCTGATGAGTAACGGAGAGAGTAGATATGTATATCTTGATTTTGTTAAAATTATTATTAAATATCTAAATTTTTTTATATCTTTAAACTTATTAATAATAGATATATGTAGTTAAAAATGTATAATTACCTAATAGTAATTATTATTAATTTATATTATTTAAAAAATAAATTATCTAACCGACTTAAGTTCTTAAATCACTTATATGAACGACATTGTCTCCATCTCCCTCACATCGTTCTTTCTCTCCCAATCACCTTGCAAAGCTTTCTTCAAAAAAATCTACTTTAATATTGTTAGTTTTTTTATGTTAGTTGTTACAATAATTAATAAGATATGTGATTTTAAGTATCACATAAAAAATAATAATAGTTTTTTTAACTTTTAAAAGCCACGCAATATTGAAATATTTTTAATATATTTTTTAATTTAATTTGATACCAACTGTTGGGAAAATTGATTCTGACGCTGTCAAATATTTTGCACTTGGGGACGATAAAACGCACCGTCAAATATTGATGACTAAGAAAGTAATGGAGTAGTTTATGTAACTAAAAAAAAATTATATTTACATAAACATTCTAATAATCATGTAAAATATTTTAAGATATAAAGAAATTAAACTATTATAAGATTTATTATGCTAATATAAAATACATATTGTACTTCAAAGAGATTAAAAGAAACAATTTTCTAACACAGTGTAGAAGGGAAAAGGGAAAACATACCATTTGTTCGAAACGCAGAAAAAAAAAAATCCAATAAAAAATTAGCAATATAAACTCGTTGATCTTTTCTCTCTTGGATGGATTCATGTTTCGAAGTCAAAGAAAAAATAAAATAAAATCAATAATAATTACCATATAACGTCTTTTAAATTAAATTTTCAAAGATGATGACGACGACCAGTTGAAAAATGCATCTACAGAAAAACAAAAATTTAAGGAACGAAGAAATCGTTGGCAATAATGGCCGAATAAACGATTTCCCTACTAAAACCCCTGCGAATTAATGTGAAAAGGACGATGCTAGTTAATTTTTTCCCTCAATTCTCCATTGTTCAAAGACAACAAATTAACAAGTTAGAGTAAGAATGGAACCACATTTTCTCAGGTGTTCATCAATGGAACCGTTTAATGAAACTCCAAGAAGAAAAGAAAACAAAGAAAATAAACATTTATTGATTTGTCCACTTCGATTGCACAATGTATTACATTACATTACATTATCATGCTAATTAACAACACTTTATAACAAAAAAAAAAAAAGGAATTGGAAAAGAAAACATACCCATAGAAGAAGAAGACGAAGGATGTTAATCCCTTTGAGCCTGGCTGGACCCAGAAAACCGTTTTGTTCTTTTCACAACAATTAACGTTGTAAAAATAGTAAAGTCAAGTTATGTAAATGGAGTTTATGGCTTAAAATACCTTACCGTTTATAGAGGGGTTTAAAGTTTATGAATACGTGGTTTTACGATGATAAAGCAAAAGGTTTTGTGGGATGAAAGAATGAAGTATGAAAAAGATTCATTTTTAGTAAAGGAATCAATGAGAATGGAGATAAACAAGGATGAAGATACGTTATATTAAAAGGGGCTATCACCCACCCCACAAAAAATTCTTTATTTATATGATTTTTTTCAAATGTAAGATAAAACTTCGTCCAAATATTATTTTCATATGGAGTGGGTTAAGTGAATACTGTGATATATGTTACTTTTCATTTTAACGTTTATTTATTATTTTTCACTTCTTTTCTCCAATTATATATAAATGAAAAATATTATTTTACAAAATTATAGTTATTTAAATAAATGATTATTTTTTAGATTTATAGCTTTTAATACTATTTTGATGAAATATTACAAATATCAAATTATTATAGAAATTAAATGAATAATTTAATAATTTTTTTAATATGATATTATTTTATTCATTTAAATTTGAATATTTTCAGAAAAAAATTATACGAAAATATATTTTATAATTATATATCAAAATATATATTAAAAAATAGATATTAATTTAAAGGTGTTAATTTATAAAGGTATTTCATTTGTAAAAAAAACTAACTAATTATTATATAAGTAATTTTTAATTAAATAATATCTTAATTTTAATTAATTTAATTATTATTATTTTAAAATATTTTCATTTTTTTCATAACGTTTTTCTTTAAAAGGAACAAGTGTATTTTGTTTATTTTATACTTTATTGCCTTGCTACCAAGTGGTTTTCAGTTCTCAAATTATATTTATTATTTTGTATTATCCTATTTTTAATGTTTGAATAGATGAAAATAATAATAATAATAATAATAATAATAACTAATGTGGTAGTTAAAATGTACTCTTATGATATAGGCTATATTAACATGTAATTTAAAATAAGTATGCCCTTTTAGTTTTAGAGCAATATAAATGCATATTACTTCAGCAGATTAAAATGGGCTCATAGAACAATCATCGTTGGGTTTTGAGCCCAATCTGATTGTGTAAAATATGCGGATGTAACTCAAAAAAATGGTTGTTATATGCAAACTCTCGCTTTTACTATTCTCACCTCCTCTTTTGTGAGATCTTACCTTCATAACTTCTCACCCACACTACTCCTTCATTCTTCCTTCCTTAGTTTTCCATGTCGGTTTATTTAGTGCAATTTGTATCTTGTGTAATCATCATAAACGACAAAGCATAAACAGATTAAAAGTTTTTTTTTTTTTGAGAAATCTTTGAAATTATAACCTGAGATAAAAATTTAATGAGAAACTGATAACATAATAATAAAAATAATAATAAACAGATATAAATGTCACATTAATTAATAATCGTGATTGATAACACAACTATCACATCATTTAAAAACGATACTTGATGATATTTCGATCCTATGCAAAAAGTACTACAGTCTCTGCATTAGTTTTCTTCTTCATTGGTGACGGACATTTAATAGCAAATTTCTCTTTCCAAACAATATATAATTTTAAAAGTCTTGTTTTTTTGGATTATACATTGTGAGATAGGTTTCCATATTACTGTATCTGGAAGTGTTTTTATATTATATTTTCAAAAATATATTTTAGAGTGAAAAATCCATAAATATTTTTAAATACATCAATTTAAAATATGTTTTTGGAGATAAAATGGGAAAATTCTCTATACTAGACTATTTGAAATGTGTTCGAAAAAAAAAAAAAACTCTGAACTACATAAGGTCTATGATTCGAAGAAATTTCTAACATGGAAAAGTGAAAACGAATGTTATTGAAATAACTTTTAGATTACAATAATATGAAACTATCATATTGTTATGGGATCCATAAAGAAAATATAGGATATAAAAATAATGTGCCTAAAAGGTTTTTTACTCCTCATGAGCCCAGCCAAAAATCTGAAATGGTTTTCTTTTTTCAGATTGCAGGCCCATAGAAAAGCCCAACCCATAGAAATGGTTTTTCTTGGCTAATCACCGCCACGATTCAAAGAACACGCGAAAAGAGAGAATCAAAAGCTACGACAGATTTTTAATTGTCTTTTCATATCCTAAAAAATAGTCATATCAGATTGTAGCTCATGATAACGATGAATATAATAATCAAACTTTACGTAATTAAATGAAAATTCAAAAACACAAAAAATGAAGAGTAACATGGTAATTTAATGTAAGAAGTGACAATAGGCAAACCCAAGAAACTGAATGACCTTCCAGTATAGGAGTTCTTATCCACAACATGCTTTGAACAAGTGGGGTCAAGGGAAGTATCCAAAAGGTACAAAAGAGAATATCCAATTATCTACAATCATGATCACAGATTAAAGGAAATTTCGCTGTACCAGGGTTTATGAATCTGAATTGGTACAAAAAAAACAGCTTTCAAGGTTTTTAACTCTCTGGATTTTATCAGCACATGTGACATGAGCATGTACAATAATTTGAACAGTAACCTTCTAGACCTAGCTTTTATAATTTACGGTTCATTGGGTTTATCTTAAAACATGGAAATTCTTCAAATTTGAGAACTTTGACACGTTTAAAATTATTTCTCAGACCAGAAATATATGATTCAACATTGTTGCCTTTTCTTACACGAACAATATACAAAAAGAAAGTTGTGTAAAACAAGTGTACATGAGAAGATATTTCATTGTTTTTATCTGTCAAATGTTGACTACACAATAATCTGAGTTCTAATCTTGAATCATTCATATGTATACGTGACCTAAGGAATAATAATAAATTTATAATTCAATATGCCAAATGTTATTAGGTTTAATCCGAGTCACTCTCACACATAAAATTATACTCCAGAGTTAATCCAATCGAATTGGGTGAGAATTCGCTCAAACTCGACATTATTATATATTGAACATAGTCACACATTTTTATGTGATACATAAATACAAACAAACAACTACCATGAATCGAATGAGTATAGTGGATAAGGGTTATATGCCCAAAAAACTAAATGTCGTTTTTGTCCACTCCATTCGATCACCTTAAAACTTTCAATGGGGAATGAACCATGGCCACACATCCTCTTCAAAATGGTCACTACCCTCAATTTGCAACATAAAGACAATCAATAGCCATTCCACAATTAATAATAATAATAATAATAATTATTATTATTATTATTAATCTTTTATATATATATATATATATATATATATATATATATATATATATGCAGGATATGAAATAAGCAGTTTTCTGACGCAAAGTATGTGGTTGGTTATCTGAAAACCAAATCTTATCCTAAAATTTCGTTCTCTACACATAAGAAACGCAAAGTGGCATCATCTATTTATTATTATATCATAAGATAATGAAGAATTCGCGAACTCCAACTAAAGATACGATTCACTTGCACCTTTTACTTTTTTTTTTCTGAGAAAAAAAAAATCCTACGTGAAACGAAACCTGTTACAACAATACGATGCGGTTCTTGTAATCCCACGCCACGGGCTTCTGTTTTTATCTCTTGGATTATATTAAGATATCATAAACATGCGTGAAGGATGTTTCTTTGTTAATTAATTACTATTTAATTAATAATGGACTAAACATATTTTAAATGATTTGACAATGAAGTTGGTGCTGTTAATTGGAGTTCACATCTTTGGGGAGGATTATAACGTGTGGAATATCTATTGTTTGAAAGAAAAGTGGTTTAATATATTAACATTATCATTAACGAAGGGTTCAAAAAATATTTGTCATAAAGTGGTAAGGGAAATTCTTAACTACTATCATTATGTGGTGGAATAATCTGATTAACTTTGTCGTGGACATCACATTCCTGTGGGTACCCTTTCTAGATCAATCTGGTTCTTTCCTTTATAAAAATTTGGAAAAGTTGTTCTGGAAAATGACAATCATGTCACAATTATAGGAATTTAAGTGGAAGAAAGAGTGAGAGGGTTATTTGTAGATAGTTTATTGCAGGTATAAAAGGTGAACATGCGATTGTCTGAATAAATTATGAGAAAATAAAATATTTAATTCCTTACAGTAATCATAAATAGGTTTATTTGCATTAACTTTACATGGATCTTAACTCGTAATTATGTTATATTATTGTTTTTGTTGTTATTAAATTATCGAAAGTTGTTTTTTTACATTTTATTACAGATCCTTGTGTTGTGTCAGCTTCATACTTTTATCTCTAAAATAATTTAAATATTTTAAACAAATGTAAATACTATTTTTAAGCTAAATATATTTTTACATCGTTGTAGTTAATGTGATATTTCTTTAAATATAATTATAGGTAAGTAGTTTTATCTTGTTTCAAAATTAGATAACACGTGGATTAAACATAAACGGTACAAATAAAAATTAGGAAGTAATTATCTGTTAGACTAAATCCACTCACATATAAAATATGATATCTGTGTGAATATAAAATTATTTGGAGTTATTACTCATTAGTTATAAACAAGGTATTAGGGTCAACTTAGTGGAGGGTAGCATAAATGGTTTGGTTGTTTTTATAAACTTTTATGTTCAATTTTCAATGTTGTTGTTTTTTAAGAAAAAAAAACTATTAAGATGATTCATATGTCTCTAATAAAAATATTAAAATAATATTTAAATATTTTATTCATCATTTAACTGATTTCTCATCATTTTTTAAAGATGGAAAATATTTATTTGTATTCCTATAATTTTGTGATTATGTAATTTTTAATTTTTATATAATGTTAATTATAAATAGGAAAATGATATTTTGACAATCCAAATCCATACAACTCTTGTAAACAACTCTGTTTTAATATTATAATAATAGTTTTATTTTATTTTTATTTTTATTAAATCAGTCTATAAATTATTATATTAATAAAAGTGAGTTGTTTATAAGGGTTGTATGGTTTTTTGTTGTGAAAATATCACCACTCTTATAAATATAATTTTTTTTAATTATCGTAATATATTATTTTTATCAACAATTAACTTATTTGTCAGATGTAAACCTAATTATCCAACTTTTAATCAAACTTTGTATTATTCTGAAACTTTTCGATCGTTTATTTTGAATCGTACGATCAATCTATCTAAAAAAAAGATAGATGTGCGGTATGTTTTTTAAAATCATTCTTATAATAGCTAATGGTTATAACTCTGTCTCAAATAGAGAAAATTTTCTCTGAAATTTATAATGGGTTGATCTTTATAATTATTTTACAAAAATGACATTTTTGCAAATTGAAAAATATAAATATTGTTCTATTAATAAAATGATTTTTTTATTATCATAATCAATTTGATAACTTATTTTATACAATATAATTTATTCACTTACTTTCAAAAGTAACTTTATCAATGGTAAGAAAAAAATTGACATCACCAATCATAAAACAGGAGAATTTAGTAAAATAGTGAAAAATTGATTCCTTATAAGTGAATAACATTTTCTAAAGTTAATATTTAAAATAAAAAGTTACAAAATCAATGTTAATATTTTAAAATTAAAAGAACATGTTATAATATTATTATAATATATAATATTAACCAATAAATATATAATTTATTATTAAAAAAATGAAAAAAATAATATAAAATATTTTTATTAAGATAATTTTTATAAATAACGTGATATCGATTAAGAAAATATATTTTGTAATAGATAAAATTAAGAAAAATTTAATATATTAAATTTTAAATTGAATTCTAATTAAAAATAAATAAATAAAAAAATAAAATTTGCTTGCGCTGTATTCACATGTAAAACATTGTGTTTGTCTTTCACTCACCTTTGGGTCAACATGACCAACTTTTGCACTCCCACCTTGACCGCAAACTAAGCCGAACACTCGGAACCAAAAAAAATAAATCAGAGATTTCATTGACCATAATCAAGAAAGTGATGGGAAAAGGTGAATGTAGCTCTTTAAGTACAACAAACACCATCATCTCCATATATACTTACTTTTATTTTTCCCACTGATTTTTCTTTTCATATTTTTGACTTATAATCCAAGTGTTTTAATATAAAATGCTTTTAAGATAATCATATAATATATTATTAATAAATAATAAATAAATATAAAAAATAAAAATAAAATACAGTAAAAATTATTAAATAATATATTATTAATAAATAATAAATAAATATAACAAAAATTAAAAAATAAAAGAATAAAATTAAAAATATATACTTAAATATATTAAATGATTATTTAATTTAAAGGATATAAAATAATAAATTATATGAAGAATTATAAAATTTAAAAAAATAAAAAATAAAATTATAAATAAATATATTAAATATTTAATAAATTTAAAAACCAAAATTATAAATTAAATTTTGGAGTAAGTATCGCCCCTTCATCTACCAACAAAATCTGATGCTGATAACGTATTTATGATAAATTATTTACTAAAGTAAGAAAAGTATAGATTATTTTAAAAGTTTGAAAAATTAATCGTTCACACGGACAGAATTTGATTGTGAATAGATGCCACGTAGGATGGAGTCAGTGCAGCATAAAAATATGACAGATGTGGGACACTGGGCACAAAACTGCAGCTAATGTACAATTGTCGGTGAGATCTAAAGAACGCTTCAATGCGGGACCTTCCAAACCTAATGCATGGAATTTATTACTATAGTTTAAAATAATCAATTGGAAACGTTATTTTCACACTACGTTCTTACAATTTTGGTTTCTCTTCATTGCATTTTACGATTTGTTTATAAAAAAAAAAAAAAAATGCAGTGAAGCAAACCTTGAAAAGGCGACAATAATCCGTTTTGAGAAATGATGAAATTGGATGTACCTTTTGCAATTACAAATGGTGGCAAGCAGAGGTAGGAGACACACATGTGTGTGGGTTTGAAAATCGATCGAAACCTGTGCTTGGTTGGTCCCATTCGGACCCTCCTCCACCACGCATGACAGCGCATTCTTAGCTTCGCTCACTTAACCCTTTCTCTTTCTGTGCCTCATGGTTGGTGTGATAATATATTAAGTTGTTAATATTGCTGAGACTTGAAGCATTTTTTTTATTTGGTTAATCGAATAATGTTAGTTTCGTATACAACACTGCACAGTACAAAGTGACACCAAACAAAGGGGGTTTTATTGGAGTTTGATGAAGATACATAATTTAAGTGTGGTTAAGCTGTCTTTGCATTGTTGTGATTTGCGAACAAATTGAAACCGGTGAATGTCTGCACATGATTCCACTGAAATGTCTCTGGTTGCTCACTTGGATGATTGGTTCGTGGTCCCTCTCATATAACCGTTCCACCTATATTTCAATTTCATATAAATCATACGACGAAAAGTTTCGCCCACTTCTTTTATCTATCATTTATTAACCTGTTCCTCCTTTATTTAATCTTAATTTATTTTAATTTTACTTATCATAATATATATATATATATATTTTTAGTTGATGTTATATTTTTTGTTATCTTAATTGTCTTAGTGAGGGGATGTTTTCTACATCACTTATCTCTCTTTTTTTAATATAATTTACATATTTTTTATAACTTTACCTCATATTAATTTATTTTATATTGAAATCTAATTAGGAGATATTAAAGATATATTTTATAAAATTTTTTTCTTTTAATTATGGTTTTTTTTGGGACAATATTTAAATATAAAACCTTGTTTAAAAGAATCCAATTCAATACCAGTAACATGTTAGTATTTAAATAGTTTTTTAATAGGTCTAATTTTTTTATTGATTTTTTTTAAATATCAGTATCCAGTGGATTAGCATTTATTTAAGTAACATTTTATTTTATTAATTGTAGTCGGAATTTTATATTTATAGTAAAGTTTAATTTTAATAATAATTAAGGTGTGGTTAATACTATCCATACTCATAGAAATTCATTAATTTGACTCATTTAAACTAGCTAAATAAATTGAGTTGGCTAAGATTTTTAACCTAATTCTAAAATGAGTTTTACCAAATTCACCCTTTCTTTTTACGATTTCAATACAGATTTGAATGGATCAATTTTTATTTTTTTTGTTAAATTTTCATGTATTTGTGGTAACCTATCAATACTTGTTTGTTGGCATGTAAACTTGTGATGATAATGAATTAAAGTATTAATGCTTATAATGATTTTAATTTGTAGTAAAAAATATATAACTTCACTTTATATATAACTTCATTTTAATGTTATATGCAGTAAAAATAATCGTATATTAAACTCATTCAATTTGAACCGTTAATGATACCAGTTCATAGATTTGAATATTTTCATATGCGACAACATAAATTATATATTAAATAAAAGGTGGTGGGCTTTAAAAATAATTAGCTTTAAATTTAATAAACCTGTGTTTTAATTAAAATGAGTTAGAGTAAAATATGTTTTAATTACGTCACCAATTTTCCCAAGAGTGTTACTTAATACATTCTCAAATCTGTGCTTTTGATTTTTCTGTTTTTTAAAATGTGATGTATGATTTTATACTTCAATTTTTATTTGACTAAAGACCAAATATATCACCTTGAGAGAAGTATATGATAAAAAAGGAAATGTCTAGGTCTTTTTTTATCGCAAATATTAGACCAAGTCACGTATAAAACATCCTTTTTAACTTAATAAAGTAAACTTCGCACAGAATAAATGTAGTGCGATTTAAAATTATTTTTCGTTCACAATAATTTAACATTTTTACCATCATTATTAAAAAATACTTTAACATTTTTTATTTTTTTAAGACAGTGTAGCAAAACATTTGTTGTAATTTTAAATTTAGTAAAAAATTATGATTTAGTAAATAGTATATCCTACGCTTGAATGCCATTGAGATTTTAATTATTTGGCCATTATAGTTTTTTTTTATACTAATAGTGAATATCAATAAATTTGAATTACGAGGATTGTGCTTTAGGAGCTATCTATTCATGACATAATTGTCTAAAGGCAAAAGTAGGCATAAGTTGTTTTTGCATAAAATATATGATTTGTTAATTTTTTTTTTTTTAAATAATTGCATGCAAACCTATATAAGGGTCATCATCAAGAGTAAGGTGTCAAATACTATTAGAGTGAGAATAAAAATGGTGGGGTCATATAGTATTGTAAGATTTGGTTCATTCGAACTGAATGACAGGGAAATATCATAAAAAATATGTATATATTATTTTATAGTTTTGTAATTTTTGAGGGAAAAGATAATAAAAATTCACAGAAATAAGAATAAATTCGTAAGAAGTAAATAAAAAAAAAAAAAAAGTGATGGGATGGAAAAAAGGTTGATTCGGGTACCAGATGCGTTTGAAAGACACTCCTTTGGATTGGAACCAGCTCATCATCAAAACCCTAACCCTATGCATGGCTATATATATAACAAAAATAAACTTCAAACAAACAAAGAAAAAGGAACCTGTTTTATATTCATATATATCTTCTTTTAAAAGCAATATGTGTTTGTATACGAGAGAAAAAGTTAAAGTAAAAGCTGTTTTTGCCTTATGCGGAATATATATGTTTGGATAAGTTTTGGCAATGAACAAACACTTCCACTGCCACTTGTTACAAAGCTATTTAATTCTATTTTATTATTTTAAATGATTAATATTTTTTTCCAGAAATACCACATCTAATTGTAAAAAAAAAAATTGTTTTCACGTTCAAGTGTCAACATTATAACAGTCTGGTTTGGTTAGGTTACTAATTTGGCTTTGTTTAAGCTGTGATTAAATTTAAATTAAAATATTAGAAAGAGAGAATAATGTTTCATCAATGTTGAGGTGGATGGATGTGACTCATGTTGACAACTGAAGGTGCTAATTCAATTTCGATTATGGTAAGTATTGATATTATTTATTATATTGCATTTTTCATTACATCCTCGTTTTGGCCTTCAATCTCATATATTTAAAAAAGCAAAAAACTTAAATATAATTTTGATTTACCTCATAATAAAAATAATTTATATTGAATATTTTTTATTTGTTTTTAATAAAACAGTATGTTTTTATAGTATTATATTGTAAAAATAATTGTATTGTTTGTAATTTTATATAAAATATTAGAATATTATTTTTTTAATAAAATTTCTTTTATGATTTTATTATTATCATTATTTTAAAAAAATTATATAATAAGTTAATTAATTGTTGAACATTTATTTTATAATGATTTGAAAAATAAACATATATTAATCTTTTTTAGTAGGTCAAATTTATAAATAGTATATACTTAAGTGACAACTTAAATTTTGTTAATGAATATGATGATATTTTTTACATTCTCACCGTTTATTATGTGATTCAAGATATGTGTTTAAAATGTATATTTCAACCGTTCAACTTTTTCGGGAAGGTTTTTCAGGAATTTTTTTTTTTTTATCACAAGGTAGGAATGACATATTTTCAAAGTATGGTTGAAGTTTGATTCTGAACTCATGTTAATGTAGGCAGGTTCAACTTTTTTTTTTTTTTTCAATTATGAAAGTAATTAATAGACAAGCATTGTGTAACCTAACTCGAATCAAATTTATTCAATTTTTGTGTTGTCAAATCACAAACTGTCACATTAATTATACCAGATTTGATTCAAGGTTTCAATTTGAATTTGTTTATATTTATATATGGTAATTAACATTTTTTAATATAAAGTTATTTACGTCATATAGATATTTTTTAAAATTTTTGTAATGATATTTATTACAAAATTTATTTCAATGATAATTTTTATAAGTATATATATTTTTATAATAATTTTATTTATATTTCACCTTTTAATAAATTTAAAATAATCTAGTTATTATAATTAAATATTAATAAAATAATATATTTTAATAAAAAGTTAATTAAAATATCACAAATTTATTTAGATATGTATGTAAATATTATCTATTAAAAATAAATAACAAATATTAAAAATATATAGAAATTGTCTAAAACAATAAATAAATACTAGTTTTCACATAGTGACTCCGAAATTGACGATGTAATTTTCTGTTATGAAAATGTGTTCTCCTTTCTAAATAAGTTATAAGGATTATGAGACATATTAATTGTTGAAACTTAATAATCATTATCAAAATTAATATTATACATGTATTTTTTATTTTTAATTATCATGTAATATATATATATATATATATATATATATATATATATATAGATTCTCAATATATATATATAGATAGATAGATAGATTCTCAATAACGATAGGTTAAACAATATAAATGTAAATTAGGTGATGTATGCCTTATTTTAATATTATATTAATATTACTATGCAAGAAAACTTCGTAACAAAGTTTTCCTCGTATTACGATAAATTTTTTTCTTATGTATGCATACTGAAGCGAGGGAGGAGGAGAATCAAAAATTTCCTATTATCATTTTTCTTCTTTTATTTAAATTTCAAGCAACGATACTCTACTCTGCAGGATCTGGTGAAACAGGAGAGAGTTTGAATTAAGTGGGAAAACTTCGGTAGAAATACCATACAAGGTAAGGAGAAGTTTAATTCATTCAATATATGAAATTGAATTGCTGGGTACTCTGTGAATAAGGAATATGAGTAGAGATGTGAATTATTTGAACGTGTAATTTTGAAGAATTTCTGATTTTGATGAACTGTTCACCGTTTGAAAGTTTTTGAAATTCTTGAAATTAAGGATGAATTATATTATAAAATTGTTGTTTTTAACTTAAATTGAACATGTTTATGGTTTAATTTTGATTTGGAACTAATTTGGGTGATTGAAACTGAGAAATTTGAAACCTGGATTTTGAAAATGGCGTACTGGAGGTAATTACTATTTATATTTTGCAAAGTTTTAAATATTGATTAAATTCTTGAAATTAAGGATGAATTATGTGGTAAAATTGTTGTTTTCAACTTAAATTAGATATAATTCATGTTTAATTTCGATTTGGGACTAGTTTGGTGGTCTAAAACTGAGTAATTTGAAATCTGCCAAAATCTGCAAAATTCGACTGGGCGAAGGAAGAAGAAAGAGATATAATGGGGATTTTTTAAAAAGATCAAGGGTAAAATAATCATTTTTCATCTTAGGGACATAAATGTAATTTTTGAAAATGTTCAAGGGCAAAATAGTCATTTTACATCCTAGGGACATAAATGAAATTTTTGAAATTGTTTAAGGGTAAAATAGTCATTTTCGGGACATGGAAATAATTTTTGAAAATGTCCAAGGGCAAAATAGTCATTTTCGGGACATGGAAGGAATTTTCAAAAATGACAAAGGGTAAAATAGTTATTTAGGGACATAAATGGAATTTTAAGAAAAGATTAAGGGCAAAATAATAATTTAATGATTTCGAAAATAGTTTCGGAAATAGTTTCGGAAATGATTTTAGAAAAATATATATATAAAGAGAGAGAGAAAACGAAAGTAGTGTGTTGTGACGTGTGTGAATCAGACTGAGCCTGAGGGCTGATGCCCAGAATCAGTCTTGAGACGTTATATATTGGCTAGATTGAGCCGGAGGGTTGGTGCCAGAATCAGTCAAATCCTATTTTTATTGACCCGAATGAGCCGTGAGGATAGGTGGTCCAGAATCCGGCAAATGTGAATAATTTTTTTTGTTATGTTTGAATGGTACCCGGGGTGGTACAGAGTACATTAGTGTAATAACTATGTCGGAGGATTCTGAATGAGGTCCCAGACTTCACTGATTGGTCGGGTCAGGTAGACTACGAGATCAGGTGGTGAGAAGTCGATGGGGGATGACTGGTGGCGCGCTCGGAGGGGTACTCCAGTATGAGTGATGAAGGGCGCCAGTAATCCTACTCTGTGTGAAGGGTGATCAGAATGATACTGCGGGTACCGATCATAATGTGCCCACAAATGATATCCTCTGAGTTCGGGCATAGTTAGGGAATATTTCCGAAAGGTGTCTTAGTGTGTTGATAATTTCGTAATTGATCATAATATATAATTATTACTTCTATATCTGTTTTATTATATCGAATGATTTAATACTTACCCCTGTTTTTCCATGTGGATGGGACTGCGATGATCACTTTTATGTGGGAGCAGATCAGGAGTTGAGAGATGGTGATGTGACTACTGGACAACAGAGATAGTTCAGTGGGATAACTTCGAAGAAGCTATTTTTATATGTATAATATATAAATAAATTATGTTACTATATCTTTAAGTTCAGTTACTTAACCGAATTTCAATCTATGTTACAATTACGGTAATATAATGTAAAATAGATGTCGTTATTTACTTGTTTACTACTTTGCAAATACATCATTATAGTAGCGATTTCTAGGGTCGTTACAAATTAAAACACGGATATTCTAAATGCTCGTTCTATAATTTTTTATAGGCCATTTTTTACATTTGTTAAATATGTTTAAAATATATTTATTAAATGAAAAAATATAGTATTTAACAAAATTCGTCATGAACATAAAATCAAATAATATATATAAACTTATATTTATTACATTATTGATATAAAAACTAAAAATTTAAAATATTTATCATTATTTTTTCAAATAATAATAATAATAATATTTTAACAAATTGATATATCATATTTATATATTAATTAATAAGTTATCAATTAATGGTTATATATATTAAATACTTTTGTATATACTTATGAATAGAGTAATAATTAAAAGTATTAATGTATGTCCGTGTGATTGATTAGAGTAATAATCAAAATTATGCAAATTTAAACAACAAAATGAGAAAAGTTCACTTATTAGGGTTTTTGTGTACTTTCTTTGTTTATGTATGAGTTGGGATGATTTGTCTTAAATAATGTTTTTCAAATCGCTGGATTCTCTATGGTTAAACCATTTCATGTCGTGTCTATATTTTAGTACTATTTGCAACGCGTAATTTCCATGCACAATTCCTTTTTGTTTTTTTCTTAATAATGAAACTTATTCGATATACAATGTTCACTACTACAGAAAACACTTACTACGACAGCATCCAACGTCGGTTTTTATGAAGACCGACGTTGTACAAGACGCGGTGGCAAACTTGTAATTAAGAAACAATATTTAACGTCGGTTATAAAATATCCGACGTAGTAACGGACAAATAACGTCGATTAGATGACAGACGACGTTAAATGTTTAAATTTAACGTCGGTTATGTATAACCGACGTTGAAATCCCAAAATCAACGTCGGTTACATGATTTACCCGACGTCGAAAGCATTATCCACGTCGGGTTTTTTAATAACCGACGTTGAATGTCCTATGATACCTAGACTCCATGGCGCGAAGTTGTTCTTCTGCTTCTTCTTCGTGCCCACATACCTCCCTCCTTCTGTCCTCACTGCCGTGCACTGC